TTACTGCCTCCTGTTGGCCAAACACCTGAAGAACAGCGGTAGGCTATTCCCCAATCTGACAATGCTTCTGTAAACCCTACCCTTTGAAACCCTACCCTTTAAAATGTATTATCTCCACCTTGGCTTAGGACAAATTGTGTTAGTAAAAAGGAGGGTCCTGAGTCAAGAGGAGAGAGTCTTTAGCTCCTTTAGCGGAAGCTCCTCTGACTCCCAATGCCTTACAAAACTATCTTTCATCATTGAACTCCTACTTAATCTACATGCAGCCTTTCTCCAGATTGCTGAAGGCCTTCGTAATTCTGGGACAAGAACCCCAGCAGACAATGTTTAGCAATCTTTACCTCTCTTGGTTTCAAAAGTTGTTCATCACTCTAGAAAAACACCCTGTTTTTATTAAGTAAACTCTTCCTGTTTCCCTCTGCCTCCATCTACAAAACTATATCTTGTTTTTAGAGATTTTATCTAGTCTGGATAATTCATGTGAAAGGAATCATATAATATGTGACCTGTTGAGTCTGGCTTCTTTTATTTAGCATGGTTTGGGGATTCATCCTGTAGCATGCATAAGTACTTAATCCTTTTAATGGATGAATAGTATTTCATTGTAAGTATATACCCATTTTGGTTTTTCATTCATCGGCTGATGAAAATATGGGTTCCTTCCACCTTTTAATTCTCAGGAATGATACTGCTATAAACATCTGTGCACAAGTTTTCATGTGAACATATGTTTTCATTCATCTTGGGTATCTACCTAGAGGTGAAATTGGTGGGCATACATTATTTCTATGTTTCTTTATTTTAGGAACAGCTGAACTGTTCACAAATATTTCATCAATTTGCATTTCCACCATCAATATAGGAAGGCTTATATTTCTCCACATTGTTGCCAACAATTATTTCCTTTTTTTATTATTATGATAAACATCCTGGTGTGTGTAAAATATATTTTATTATGGTTTTGATATGCATTGCCTGAATGTCCAGTGAGGTTAAATACCATGCATGTACTGGTTTGCTATTCATATACTTTCTTTTGTAAAAAGTCCATTCAAATTCTTTGTCTATTTTTGAAATCTACTTTTTGCTTTTTTTGTTGTTATTGTGAGAATTCTTTATTTATTCAGGATATCAAATCCTTGTCAGATATGTGATTATAAAACATTTTTAACCATATTCAAGTTGTCTTTTCACACTGTTGATTAATGTTTTTGAGGTAATTTTTTTAAATTTAATTGAATGTATTTATTGTTTCTTTGTTACTCATGCTTTTTGTGTCAAATCTAAGAAACCATTGCTAGATTCAAAGACATAAAGAACTATTCTATGTTTTCTTTAGTAGTTTCATAGTTTTTGATTTTACATGAAAGTTTTGTATCCATTGGAGTGTATTGTTGCATCTGGAGTGGGGTAGGGTTCAGATGCCCCAGAAATATTTGATTAAGAGATTGTTGATTAAGGTAGATTCATACTAAGTTTTGAAACTGGAAAGTCCACCAACTTTAATTTATTAATATAGTTAAGAAGGGGATGAATGGAGGCATCTGAAATAGTGTCAACAATAAAAAAATTAAAATTAAATAAATTTTAAAACATATTGTTTTGGTTATTTAGAGCCCCCTTGCAGTTGGATATGAATTTGAGGATCAGCTTTTACCTCTTATGTAAAAAAAATCATTTTTGACTTTTGATAGTTATTTAATTGACTTAAGATGAGACTAGATCACTTTGAGATCTAGTCTCATCTTAACAGTATTGTCTATAAACCCATGACCATGAGATACCTTTCCTTTACCTAGGTCTTCTTTAATTTCTTTCAGCAAAATTTTATAGTTTTAAGTTAACAGGTCTTTTAACCACTTGGTTAAATTTATTCCTAGGTATTTTATTATTTTGATGCTATTTTAAATTGAGTTATTTTCTTAATTTTCTCTTGAATTATTCGTTGCTGATGTTGAGAATCAAACTAATTTTTGCATATATAATAAGAAGAGCTAACAGGTATATAGAATGCATTAAATACCAAGATTATTCTAAGAGTTTTATACATGTCTATGTTCTCAAAACACTAACTATGGTGGTTTCCTATAGCTTACAAAATAAAGATAAATTGTACTGACAAAGATTACAAGGTCTTTCTTATTCACTTTTGTCTGTATGTATCTCCATGGACACTGAGATAGCTCACAGTCACTAAACACACTATGTTCTTTCACCCCTTGATGTCATTTCATTACACAATCTATCGTTGTTTTTGGCTAGGATTTTTCCTCCAGCTCATCCGTCTGGTCTGGGAATCTCCTACTCTTCCTTCAAGATTTAGCTCAAATGTTAGCTCAGCTATTTAATCAATTCTCTTAAATCTCTGCTTCTGTTTTCTATAACAATTTGCACATGTCTCTTTTATAGTGGCTTCACCTTGCCATGCCATTATCTTTTTGGCTTATTTTGCTGCCCTCCACTTTAAGACCTGGTGCAGTATCTGGCACAGTACATTCTCAGTGAAACTTTTGTAAATGACTGAGTGATCCAAATACAGAAAAGTAATTTACCCTATCACAAGATGTGCTCAGCCTACCTCATATATCCAAAGAGCAGTCACCAAATTTTCCTGACTGGTTTAAATTAAATTTGAACCAGAGCTCTCTTGATTTGCAGCCAAATGCTGTACCAATGAGCTATCATCAGAGGCACCCACAGGAGAGGCAGCCACTATCATAACAGGCAGCCAGCATCACAAGAGGAAGACAGGCAGCTACTGTGGGGAGAGGTAGCCTCTATCATGACTGGCAGCACTGCAGCCCAGCACTGTCTCTAGGGGGAGCTACTATTGCCAGAGGCAACTACTCAGCTGGGCACTATTGGAGAGGCAGCTATAGGGGCCGGACTGCCTCACCCATCAACATGGCCATTTCTATGATAAGCATAATAATAAGGGGAAGCATACTTTCTGGTCTGGAAGGGAAAGAGCCCTAACGAGTCATTGTTTGTTTTGTTCATTAGATCTCATGAGAGGGATCATGGGGGGCTTGACTTTTTCTGACTGGCTTATTGTTCTTGGCATGGTGCTCTTCAGACCTATCCCTGCTGTTGTAGGTGGTGGGATTTCTTTCTTTTTTTACCAAGTTGCTATCCAATGTGTAAATGTACCTAATTGGGTTTTAAGTTAATATGTATTTATTTATATTATATTTATACATAGTAAAATATAACTATGAGAAAACGCCAATAAAAAAAAAGTCTCCCTAAAATTGGGAGGTGTTGGAAGCAGATCAGAGATATCAGATCCAACCAGTAGAGGCCAAGACAACCCCTGGCCAGTCTGTCCCCGAAAAATGGGCACCAAACCTGTATGGGGGCAGAGTGGGAGGACAAGCATCTACCTGTGAATGAGGAGGTTACAGTTCTAGTTCTGGTCAGGTAGTGGCTTGATCCCCAGTGTGGGGTTTGCAGGGGACAGCCAATCAATGATTCTCTCTCATCATTGATGTTTCTATCTCTCTAGTCCTTCCTCTCTGAAATCAATAAAAATGTATAAAAAACAAACAAAACAAACAACAACAACAACAACAAAAAACACCCACAAACCAAAAAAACCTGCATGGGAACTGCTGCAGAGATGGCAGCATGCTTCCCACTCATGCCTTCCCTCACAAGCCCAGCTCACTCTGGGTAGAGACAGGCCTATTATTAGAAGGATCTTTATTTTATTGAGGCCATAACATCGTTCCCTAAAATTCAGACCTTCGGTCAATGATTTGCCTCAGCTGGCCCTCAGTTGGACAAGAATTAGTCCCTGAGGGACCTAGAAACCCAATTGGGTGATTTTCACAATGAAGGCATAGAATGACTCTACTATTTAACAAGCAGGTCTTGATGAGACTGAGTGGGAATGAGGTAGGGATGAGGTGGTGCAATGGATGGTGTCAGCTCTGGCAGGGGCGCTGGGAAGCCAGCAAGCAACAGAGGGAATTGAACCTCAAGACAAAAAAGCGTGCAGTGTATCTTCCCTACTTTCCCTGGGTCTCTCCTGCCCTGGCATCTAGTGAATCAGAAAGGGAGTAGTGATAGGCTTGCTAGGCTAGAAGTTAGATCTGGGTCCCAGCCTTACCTTACTGGGAAAGGTCACTTAAGCTCTCCTCCACACAGTTTTCTCATCTGTAATATTGGTTAATTATGCCTAGTCTTTCAGGCAACATAACTTAATTCTGCTTTTATTTTCCTTTCCGGCCTTTAGTTTTTTTTGCATTATGTAAAAACGTATTTACAATCTCTTGTTTATGCATTTTAAGGTTTCTCAGATCTTTTTGGAAATATGGTGTGGAATAAATATAAACATATATAGAATTTTTTAAAAGGAAGAAAATTAAATATGCAAATAAACACACTAGTATATGAGATGAGTCTTTTTCTCTCTTTCATTCTCTAACTTAAAGTCCTAAAATCATCTTTGTTTATCTAAAAACAAAACAAAATAAACACAGAAAGTCTATAAATGTGGTACTCTTATTCTCTAAGTTAAAACTTCAAACAATATTCTCTTTATAGGAATATAGAGACAAATTTTGAGAAGCAAAACGATTCAACAGAAAGTAGATTCAATGTATTTCCAGAAGATTTCAGTACTATTCATATTCTTTACTAGAGGCCTGATGCACAAAATTCATACAAGCAAGGCCTTCCTTCCTCCAGTCACTGGCATTGGCTTCCCTCTGGCATTCGGGACCTGAGTTTCCCTCAACGCTTCATCCAGAAGGTTGTCTGGAAGGATGTATAGAAGGAAGTCCAATCTAATTAGCATATTACACTTTTATTATTATAGATGAGCACCAAGGACTCTGTAATTTACCTATTTGAGCCTCAGCTTCCTCATCTGTAACATGGAGCAAATGCCCCCTGTCCCAAACACTATAAACTATTGGTGTATCGAGAGAATGCTTTTGAAAGTATGCAATGAAACATAATGTGCTATACAGCAAAGTGTGTAGTAATTCACTCACCAAATACTGTCCTTGCAGGCACAGATTCTCTGTTAAGCCAGAATGACACTTGGGAGAGAATGACAGTCATGATGCAAGGCAGATACGTTTGAATCACAAAATACCCAATTTTTCTTTTCAAGTGGAAATGAGCTGTCATTACGGTATATTCACCTAGAGAAATAAGGTAAGTTTAAGAAACTGTAATAGCCAATAGTTTGCACATTTTAGAAATGGAACAGATTAGAGAAAGAACAGTCTCTGATTTGAAAAAAGCCTTTATGACATATATAACATGAGAAGTTTATAATTTTTAAATGCCTCTTTAGCTCAGCAAGAGTATTTAAAAGAGGATTTTAATATTACCAAGATGATTGCTCGGCATGTCTATGGTATGGCATTTGTTTTTCTCTCTAGGTCATTCTTATTGATCAAAGGAGTACAGGGCTAATAAATACTCTCAGGCCGCTCACCCCCACTGGTACCAACCTCAAGTTCAGGTCTCTCTGGTTTTTTAAAAGATCAATCATTAGTCACACCTCCAAGGCTGATCTTCTGGCCCAGATTTCCCACTGCTGACCCTGTCACCAATTCTTATTTTTCTCAATGTTGTACCTCTCCTCTCATTCTCTATAGCCAGTCCTGTCCCATCCTCACTGCCTTCCTTCCTGCTCCCTGGCTTTACATCTGCATTAATGTACACAGCTGCCTTTTCTTAGAGGAGAGTGGCCCTTAGAAAGGTCATCAGCTTCCTCACATAGGCCAATAGTAATGATCTGTAACCAAGAGTTGAAATACCTAAAATAAGGGAAAAGGAATTGGAAAATTAAGGGAATGGTAATGCTATTTGAAGGTAAAATTGACTTCTCTGAGAAGATACACACTTCTTTAATATGAAGTATATTTTAGACTAGTGTTTCTTGACCTTTAATGCACACCCAAGGAATCTCCTTGGAATCTTGTTAAAATACAGATCCTAAATTTATAAGGGGTCAGGCCTGAGATTCTGAATTTCTAGAAAAATCCCAGGCACACTCTATAATGCTAGCTCTTAGACCTCATGAACAAAAGGTTTTAATCAAACTGAGTCATTTCCAATTACTTTAACCCATTGATTTTCTTAACAACTTTTCTTTAGATTCATTTTACCAACCTGTACTGGATTTAATTGTCTCCTTCCCAATTGATTGGCCCAAGAGGTCATACTGGTTTAACCTGGAGCCATCAGGAGCAACTTGTACTGAATCAGATGCATTGTAAGTCCAAATATAAGTGACCTCTGAGGTTGTATATGCATCTGTAGAAAATTAAAAAAAAAAAAAAGATCTGTTTTATCATTTTAGTAAGAACCACCAGTAAAGTCCAACATCAAAAGTTGTATATTTCATAGAATAATTGTTGACTAAAATAAATCATTGATATTTACCAATCATATTTTTAGGGTAAAACGTGTCTTTGAAATTTATAGCTTTAATATGAAGGTTGTGAAGCAAACAAAGAGAGACAACCAAGATCATGAGACTATTTTCTTTGCAACCACTTTGAGAGGTAAAGAACACATTTTTAGAGTCTGCAAAAATCTTAAGAGTCTGCAAAAATCAGTGGGCCTTGAGATAATAAAAGACAACAATCATAGTTTCAAGGTGGTAGAAGTCACTGTGGTAAACAGATTATGAATGCCATAACTCAGGTAATTAATTTAGAAATAACACTCACTCATGAAATGACAATCATAATCTAAAAATAATATTGCTTTATAGACATAAATTAATTTCATTAAGAATTAAATTACAGCTATCATACATGATACAATGCATTTCATTAGAAAGATGAAGATTGATGATTGCACACCATGTGAAATAAATGAGAATGATGCAATTTTCTCAAGTTGTAAATACTTTTAAAAACATTTTCATTTTAAAATTAATTTTTATACCCAGATCTCACTGGGCTCTTCTGTCATTGTCTTCCAGGTACGTTATGGATTGGGAAGAAAAGATTAAAGACATACAAACCAGGTATCATTTCCTGTTTTGTTTGGCCAAAGTAGGAGAATTTAGCACAAGTGAGATGACTCTAGGACCAGAGGGCAGGCAGCATGCCTTATCTTCGCAGCCCCGTGGCCCTGGCATTTCCTTTGCACTTGCATGCCCTGGTGGGGGAGCAGCTGAGTCTCTCCACAATTGAATAAAGAGATAACTCTTGTTACTGTACTGACCATGTGAAAAATTTTAATGCTCTTTTGTTCATGAGAATGTTGTGAAATATTAGTCACTTCTGATCTTTGAGAAAAACTCAGTACCATGGTCACATTCACAATTAAAAGAGAGAATGGACCAGCTATTTCAGTTGGTTCTAGTCCTTGAGAAAAACTCACCACCCTGCTCATATTCTCAATGAAGGGAGAGAAAGGACCAGCTGTTCCTACCAACATCTCTTCTCTATCCAGGATCTAGTGGTCCTCACCTTGATCCAAAGTTTGGGATTATAAATTGATTTGCATTTAAACTTCAGTAACAGCAAAAATAATATAAGTTTGTGTCTTTCTCTGTGGTCTTTTGATAGTTTCCTGAATGTCAATACTAAATGTTAATATCTAAAAGACACTGACTTCATTGTACATATATTCATCTACATTTATAAATAAATCATATTAAATAATTTTTGAAATAGGATTATATATATATATCTGTGTATATAAATATATGTATAACTTTATGTGTATGTATATTTAATAGTAGAGATATATTTATAGAGTTTACATATAAATAAATTCTACTTATTTTAAGGTTCAAAATTTTTTTTAAATTTTAAATATTTCACCATTGATGACTGCTAAGATTAGATAAGTAATATCAGTAATGTGGATAACTAGCAATTCATTTGCAAATTATCAAGTAGCTTGTTTTGTTCCCTCACAAATGCATATCATGGTCCCATTTTCAATAAAATTCAAATGGCACATAATTTAATAAATCAAAGATACATCACATGTACTACTTTCTATCAGAAAGCCTTACAATACTCAAATAGTTGTGAGTCTTAGATTATAAACTTTTTTTTAAAGTAACTGCAACTTCACTTTTGAGTCTGATGCTACACTTAAAAATAAATAAGAGGAAACAAAACCCTACCAAAGGAAACCCTAGTGAGACATAGATGGGCAGGGACCCTATCTGATTCACACGTATACTTTCAGCACTTGGTACCATGCCGGATTCACACAAAAGTTTTCAATTCATTTTTGCCTGATTATATACTCATAATATTTTGATTATTTATTGTTAAATATAAAAACCTGGATAAGAACACAATAATCTGTTAAAGAAAATGACTGAGTCTTCTATACAAAAGAACTTATCATATTTCATTAGTGGTATAGGAATATGTAGGCATCTTTGTTTTTATTTTTAATTTGGGGTCTGGAGACAGAAGATTTAGCAGAAAGTTGTGCAGTGAGGAATAGAGGCACTCCCTGGCATATTAACACATATCTAAACCAGAAGGCCATAGCAATGTTTCTCAGTAAACTATTAAAGGAGATAAAGACAATTTATACTACAAATTTCATTCTAAACTGCTCTAAATTTTCTTTAATTCTATTAAATAACACATTTTTAGTTCTACTGTATATCCAACATCAAATGCATACTAACTCTTAATAGTTGGTAACCAACAAAATCCCAAGACAGTCTTGAATTAATTTTTATGCAAAAAGACAACTTTCCATTTATTTTGGGCTAATGCACAGAATACACCGAGAATACCCATTCAGGGAGGGTATATATAACAATATGAGGCAATAGGGAGAAAAACTGAATTCAAAAGTATAAACTTATAGAAAAGTTGTTTCTTTTACTTCAGAACAATGATAAAGTTCCAGAAATTCCATCATTTGGGGGAAAATAAAGGGGCTTTGGAACAAGACAGGCAAAGGGCATGACTTGCTTCTGCCATATTTGTTGTGCCAACATCTTAAGGTTCGGGTTGGCCTGTGAGTCTATATCTATATTCTGGTGTTCACTCCTTTAACACTTATGCATCAAGTGCCTACCATTAGCAGAGATAAATAAAAACTGTTTGTTTACTGTGTCAAAAATAAACGTGAAGAAAACTACTACTTAAGAACCATTAAACAGAGAATGCCTAACAACAAACTTTATGTTTTGCCCATATCGCTTTTAGATAGAGACAACCATATTCTCAAGCATGCACTATTCCACTACTCTGTGGAAACACTACTAAGAGTTTATTATTTTCACTTAAAATAATTTCAGGTGTATCTATTTCATATTCAGCATGGTAACATCATCTCAGTTATATTTAGAATCTTACTAGCACTTACTTGTCCACTGAAAATGCCTTTCCTTCTTACAGCATTACTGCATCGTGACTAAACCCTTTCTTTGGTAGCAAGGCTTTTTAAAATGTCCTCTTTAATGCCACTTATGCAATGCAAATGAGTTTCCCTCTGCCACATCTGCTGAGTTTTTCGACATCATATTTACGTTGTGTAACATGATTGACTATCTTAAATAATTTTGGGAGAAATGCCAGGATTGAAGTGGTGGTTTCCATGACAATAAAAGAAGGCTTTGTAGTTAAACAAAGAAGAGATTCTCAAAGAAAATTGAGAGCTGACACTTTTTGTAGGAATGGACAGAAAAAGAAAAAACAAAACAAAATTGAACCTCATCCACAAAACTATGGTCATCAACATAATTAGAGGCTTTGTCATTCCTACATGCTATCATTCTCCCCTTTTCTTGGTACTGTCTGTGGGGAGAAGGCAACTACTCAGTCAGAGATATTTTTAATCATGTTAGAGAACTGCATTTCTATTCACGAGAAGGAAAAGCCAAAAGCTAACTTGGATGGGCAAAGGTAGGGGTGCCAGAAAGCAAAATTTCTGAATAGGTCAGGCAATGGGACACGTTCACACAAGAGAGAGAGAGAAGCTCTTTAGTAGTGTCCATAAACTGATCCTGAACCTGCCCTGAATGCCTCGTGGGCCTAGGAAGATGACTTGACCTTCCCTCTTTTCAATTATTCCGGGAGAGCAAATGCTTCTGCTTGACATACAAGATATAACCTCAGTGACCTAAAGAAGGCCAAATGCACAGAGCCGTTTCTGAAATATTCTATGTATGCAGAAGGAGCCTTGCATGTAGCAATCCAGCAACAGCATCTCGTATCTCCTTCAAATTTATCTTAAGAAAATAAGAAAAAAAATCACTTTCCATTAGCTAGAAAGCAGAAAGATAATTGCATAGATCCAACATCTGTGCCTGCCATTTGCAACAGGCTGATAACTACTTTAATAAACAATAGAATCTATCCTTTAGAATTAATTCTTAGTTGACAAAAAATGAAACATTCCGTTGGCATTTTCAGGGACTTTGAGCATTTTTTTCATATGCCTCTTGGCCTTCTTTTTCTCCCTTTTGGACAAGTGTCTATTTAGCTCCTTTGCCCATTTTTTGATTGGATTGTTTGTCTTCCTTTTGTTAAGTTGTGCATTTTGGAAATGAACCCCTTATCAGATGTATCATTGGCAAATGTGTTCTCCCATGCAGTAGGCTCCCTTTTCATTTTGTTGATGGTTTCTTTTACTATGCAGAAGCTTTTTATAATGATACTGCATTTTTAATGTGCTGATATTTGGCAAATAATGTAAATGACATAGTCCTGATCTTCAATGAGCTCCTAATCTAGCTCCCACACTTAGGCAAACATATTTTTTATTAGCAATTATGTAAGTGATAATGAAACACCATGATTCAAATATAATGATATTCGGGAGTACAACAGAGTTAGCCAATTCAGTGATGGAAATCAGCATGCCTTTTAATTTTGCATCCTATCTGGCAAGTATTATATTAAGCACTGAATAATATGAGAAGAAACTATAACATTAAGTAGTATTGCTGACTCTCCTTGATATGTTTTTCCCCAAACATGTAACTCCATTCCCATACTTACAGCTGCCAAATTTCAGAGGGCATGAATGAGCATCCATTGGAAAATCCTCCAAATGCATTGGACATTCAGCTTGAACTGTAAGCCTAAAAGTCAAAATCCCACTCTTTGTTTAAATAAATTGGCAAGTCAGGATAAATCACTCCTTATTGTTGTCAACAAAATTAATGAAGAGGTAGGACTTTCATTTTAGCATCTTTGGTTAATTAACATTTAAACCTGATTCTGTTCTATCACATTTAGATGATCCCTCTGAATACATTAGCATATGCAAAATCTGAGCTCAAGTATCAATATTTATTTACAAATATACTTAACCATTTTTTTAAATCTGTAGTTTGTTAAAAAGTAAAAAAAAAAAAAAAAAAGTTATATATGCATCTTGAAGGGCTATTTTCCCATTTACCTTACTGTTTCTATTTGAAACATTAGAGAAAAAAGACCTATAATGAAAACAATGTAATTTTCTTTCCCATAATCTCATCAACAACCATATAATAAAATTGATTTAAGAATTCAATATTGACTCATAGGAGCTTCCATCAAGATTACATAAACTTTGAATCAGTATTATATTTAGATTCATGAATATAAATATAGAAATAAGTATAGATGCACATATATCTAGATATATCTCCTAAAATACATTGTTGAGACTAGACTATTGGCTAAATTATGAATGTTATATATAATTATTTTCTGTATTTTCATCATCATAATAAAGGGTAATCAGCAAACTTATAATGTTATTCAGTATTCCATGTCTCACAAAGGTAAAGTAGGTAAAACAGGAACTAAATCAAACATACAGAAAAACCTCTTATAATGAGCAAAACAAAAGTGATCAACAATTTAGTTATAGATCAGACACTTCTAAGAGAGTATTTAAGAATAACCCCAGGCCATATTTCCAAAACTGTGTGTGTTCTCTGTCTATATTTTGTTTAAACTCCAGATATCCAATTATTATTTGATCCATAGGAATGATCAAAGTGTGTAAAATCTCAGGAGTACCGCCTTGGTTTTGCAAGATTTTAAAGAAAAAGGCAGAAAAAGTAGAAAACATTTTCAGTTTAGATAATGGTCATTTAGTAATGAGCCTGGAAGCTTTTCTTTTAAAGATCAGGACTGCATGAATAGTCCTTCTTAAATAATTTTTCACAATTGACACCTACAACTTAATATTTCATATGAAATAATAAATAATGGTCAAATGCCTGTAAGACACATCTGTCTATCAATAATGCTGATGAAAATCATCCATGCTTCAGAGACTTTATTATACATTAAATTTAGGATATATATCATTTTATTAGATTTGTTATGATTTTCTTTTTTACATAATACCAACAACATTTTAAAAGATGAATTCATGGGAATAGTTAAAATGGGATAGTGTCAATACCTGTACATTGATTTAGCTAATATTTAAAGCTTGAATCATTGCAATTGATGTTACATGACACTTATTGATTTACAAAGTGGCAATTTCATATGGTTCCATCTAAGACATATGCTTAAGGTATCCAATTTACTTCTAAGCTTTGGTAAATAAAAACTGAGTTTAAAAACATGTTTTCTTTAAAATAACTTCATAAGGAGAAACAAAATATTGAATGAAGTAAAAGCTTGTTTAAAAATCACTTAACTTTTATGATGGGCTATCTAATGAGATATTAAAAGTAAAATTACATGATGGAATAAGGAAAAATTGAAGTCATGCTATTAAACTGTACTTAATTAAAATGAAGTGTGAGACATAAATAGCCAAATATTAATCCTTAATAGTAAAGGCAATTCTTAAAATTCTTACATGCTAAAATGAGAATCAAGCTCATAACTACCATCCCATGTTTATTTTTTAATGTGCATGCAATTACAAACTATATTATAATTACTATTATGACAATGTTCACCTCGAGCTAATGTTGAACTTGATAACCAGGTTATCCAGGTTTTTAATACATGAATTACTCAGTATTCAAATGCATCAGACCAAACCTACAAACATACCTCATTGTGTAGAGCAGTGTCCCATCGTCCTGGATTCTAAGAAGTTTATTGGGCATTGTCATGTTATGAGCTACCGATTTTTTGCCATTGTGAAAGAAAGTGTCTGGAGTCCAGATTTTGCTAGCCATTAAATTGTTAAGTCGGAGGATATTCATAGGACCTTTAAATTTTAACCTTTCATCTTTCCACTTTTGTCGAAAGAACACATCTATGGTATACTCCTGAAATATAAAACAATATTCTTAGGGAAGCAATCAATGCTGTAGATACAAGGACTACAAAACTCCAACAAATAATATAGTAGTTTCAAAAGAGAGAAAGTTGTATTGATAGAAGTAAATTTTGAATCAGAAAGATCATTCCTTTCTCTCATCAATAAATGTTGCCATTGACAGTGGGATAAAGTATTTGTATTTACACAATTAACTACATTTTATTATGGGGATAATAAATAAATATACTTCATCTGGCCTTTTCAGCTGAACAAGGTCTCAGTTCAAACTGCTTTACTTCACCCTGTAATTTAGAACTGCTTGGCGAGGGGGCATGCTTGGGGCAGGGTTTGGGTGGATTACTTTGTCATTTATCTTAAGGAAGAAATAACAGGGAGCTTTCTCTGTAGCAAAAAAAAAGAAACAAGTATTAAACACACTGTCAGATCTGTATGAGTCATCATCTCTGTTGCCAAAGAAACTGTAGAATATCTTATTTTATAAAAATACTAAAATAAATGGTGAGATATCATATTGTTAGCAAGAATGCATTAGGGGATAACAATTTTAACAAAGTTTATTTTATGAAATTAGTTGGAATAAAAAGACTTTGACAAATTATTAGTTATTACATGTGGTAAGTTACTGTATTTGTATGCAAATACAAATAATTTACAAATAAACTCTTCCAGGTTGAAATGTAATTTTAATTATTCATACAGATCAGTTTGTGATTCATTTCTTTATTATCATTCTCCAGCATTTTTTAGCTGAATCCGTCTCTTTCTCTCATTGCCCCTCTCCCTCTTCCTCCTTTCCTTCCTTCCTTTCACTTTTTTCTCTGTCTTTCTCAGAATAATAGAATGTACACATTTTAGATGAGACACACAATTCACAATTGTGATTAATACTGACAACCTATTGGATGTTTACATTTCTGTCCATGTATGTTTTTGCCAATATTCACATGATAAATAATTAACATTTTCAATTACACATTTGAGATTGGAAATTCAGGAACTATCCTTTGACCCCAATGCCACAGTTATCACATGGAAGAAAATAAATGCTTCAGCAATTGGCAATTTCACTCAAATATGACTGTGTGTATAAAAAAAGGGCAGATTAGCCATGGCAATGTGGCTCAGTTGGTTGCTAGTTATCCTGTGCAATGAAAGGTCATGAGTATGATTGGTGGTCAGGGCACATACCCTAGTTGTAGGTTCAGTCCCCCTTCGGGGTGTGTTTGGGAGGCTCAATAAAAACAGTTTAAAAAGGACAGATTCAAAAGGTCAAATACTTATGAAAATATCAAATCATTTGTACACATGACCAAGCAAATGAAAAGAAATGATTCTCAGTGATGCCTCAACAATGGAACGGTGGAGATGATAAGTATAAGCTATTGGTAATGGCATATGAATAGGTCATGAAAGTGGTTCTGAGCTGTGTTCCTAATCCTTAGGAGGAAACTTCATAACTGAACCACCCTAACTCTCCATGCATGGTTTAGTCACTGTTATAGAGGTTTAATTCCGTTAGATAAAATTCAATTAGCAACAACAAAAAAACTAGATTAAGAAATGAGTCCTTGGGTATGGTTAAGTTTTTACACAGGTGTTTCTTTCCAGCTGTGGTTCCCTAAAATTCAAGGTGAATGTGAATCCTTATGACATTTACTTTTCCAGGCAAATAATATATTTCACATCTTTTTATAAAATTTCCAATTCAATTTTTCCATTTCTGTAAAATAATGGTATGTTTTATTGTTTTTAGAATCCGCTGCTATGGCAATCATTTCCTACAGATACACCACATAAGAAACATAAGTTTGCCAAATAGTGAATTTTAGATTTTTTTTTAATTTCAAGATCACCATTTGTTTTCCTGTTTTGTTGTTTTGTTTTTATATTTTTACTGATTTCAGAGAGGAAAAGAGAGGGAGAGAGAGACAGAAACATCAAAGTTGAAAGAGAATCATTAATAGGCTGCCTCTGGTGATCCAGCCCATAACCCAGTCACTCCCAGGCATGTGCCCTGACTGGGAATCAAACCTTGACCTCCTGGTTCACGGGTTGATGCTCACCAACTGAGACACGCCAGCTAGGCAACACCATTTGTTTCTAAGCATTCACAGTGAGCAAAGTTGAACCGTGCCAACATATCCAGTGTGCTCTGAGCCTTTTCCTCCCACTTTCACCAGGCACATTCATGCCATTCTCTGAGTCTAGATAATTCTAACGATCCTCGCACTTTATCATTCCTCAAATATGGCAAATTCCTTATCCTCTCTAACCAAGAGCTTACCCACAACCACATGCCCAGTCCTTTGAATGTCTGGAAATTCATGGTCAGGTCTCTAGTTAACTTTATTACTCATAAAGCATTTCATTATGGCAAGATCATACAATTCAATTATACAGTAGTTCCTTGGCCTCCCACCTGGTTTGCAAATTGTCAAGAAAGGGACAGTGGCTTTCATTTGTATATTGTTTTATTTTGTCTTCCAACATACAAGAGAAGTATAAAAAAATATTACAAAAACCTTTTAATCATCAGCAGCAGAAATGTCATCACAGAGGTTATTGAAGCCTTCCCTCTCCCATTTATTTCATCTCAATCACACTCCCTAACTCTCTGAGGAAATCATTTTTCTGAATTTGGGATGTATAGCACCCATACATGTACTTACCCATTTACCATGCAAATCTATGTATCATGTATCACATTTTTAATGTGTACAGAAATGGGACCATACTATGTATATTTTTCTGACACTCGTTTTTTTCAATTACATAGTGGAGATTTACTCATGCCAATATATCTCATCATACTTTCATTTTCACTGCTACATAGCATTCCCTTGTAAGAATAGTTCACAATATTCACTTTTCTCCTTGCTCTTAAATATTTTTCTATTTCCAGTTTGTCACTATTATGAGCAAAATACTGCTATAAAAATTGTTACACCATGATTTTAGTACAAAAGTGTAACAGTCTAGAGCTCAGATCAGCAAATTTTTTCAGGAATGGAACAGATAGTAAACGTTTTGGGCTTTGCAGCCATATGGTCAGTTTCACAACTATTCAATTGTGCTATTGTGTGAAAGTCCCCACAGGGAACACATAAATGGGTGACAGTGGTATGTTCCCACACATCTTTGTTCGCAATAGGCAGCTGACAGGATTTGGCCCATGGACCAGAGTATGCCCATTTCTGCTCTGGAGTAAATTATAAGTTGGGTTACTGGGATGTACAGCATGTTCATCTTCAAAATAACAAGATATTGTCAAATTTAAATCCTAAAAAGTGTATATCCCCACTAGCAATGTATAAACTTTCTTGTTTCTTTACAACTTGGGAAAAAGAGAATAATTCATTTTAGCCATGATGGTTGGTGTGAACTGTTTCATAGTGCTACCATTTGGATGTCCCTGTTAACTAGTGAAATTTAACACGTTTTTATGTTTATAAATTCTCTAGTTTTCTCATGATTTTTTGGTCCATTTCATTTACTCAGTTTTCTTAAGGTTGTCTTCTTCTTCTTATTGAGTTATAGAAATTCTTTCTATGTTCTATATAGGAGTATTTTTTAAACAGACTCAATAAGAATACTAATAAATATCATAAGCTATATACAATATATCATAAATACAGCAGTGGGTAAAAGTGTGTTAAATTGCCTGCCATCTTTACCTAAAAGATAAATCATAAGTAAGAATACAAAATAATAACAACAATAATAATAAGACAAATAAATAATAATACTAGAATAAACTGTGTTGCAAATATTCATAACTATAAACTTACTTTTGCCAATCTCTTAAGTCCCTGTATGTTTTTTATAAAAATGTAAAAGTTCTGCTTTTAATATTAAGGTACTGGAATTATTCTACATCATATGAAATAAAGATGCAACCTTTTTTTTCTAATGGGAATACAATTTTCTATTAAGCCATCCATCTTTCCCAACAGATCTCATGTATCTAGTGTCAATATAGGTATGAATCTCTTTTTTCCCCTATCATTTGATTATCTCTGCATTGATTCCAAAGTCTTGATTACTGTCACTATATCATAATTAATAATATTTTAATTATAATTCAATTAAAGAGATTTTATAATTTCCATTATGACTTTTTATTTTCTTTATTTAAGAAATATTGAAAGTGTGTTTTTATATTTCCAAATGCATTGCTTTACTTACTTATATTTCTGTCAATGATGTTTAATTCTATTGCATTTATGATAAGGAGCTATGCTCTGAAGATACCAATTCATTCCAGAGTTTTTTTTAAACCTGAGATTTCTTGTTGAAGTTGATCATCTCTGTCCTTTAATGGTAATTCAGTCTATTTATACTTAATGTGATTACTAATACATTTAACATGTTCACATTATATCATTTTTATCAGGGACAACTAAAATAGAGAAGATACAAGGAATAATTTATATACATGTTTCATGACTAACTGATGAAAATAAACCAGAAACAAACTCTAGAAAATTGAGGAGTAGGAACCATAAACACACACACACACACACACACACACACACACACACACTAAACACATGGAAAAGAAGGAGAGAAAAGAAATTTTAAGAAACATACAGACATCAACCATGTCAAATAGTGCTGAAATATCTTGAAAGTTTAGTAGAAAGAAAAGAATTCAAAAGCTAGAATATAATGGGTTTAGGAGTGGACAGAGGGTATAATGGTGAAAAAGTACTCTTACCCAATCCTGAGTTTGTAAGTGCCATTATGGGAAATCAGTGTTTCACTTGTAATATCTAGAGATTACCTAATATCACTTAGCTACTTCCAAGCCAAAAACCACCTAAAATGCAGGAGCTTAAAATAGCAATCAGTTATTATTAGCTCAGAAGTATGAGACTAGGGATCAGTGGATCTCACCTGACTCAGTTGATCTCAGGTGTTCTTACTCATGCATCTGAGGATTAGCTGGCCATTGGCTGACCTGGGCTCACATCCTTGTAGGGCCCC